GTTCACACTTACTGATATGTTCCTGTAGAATGAAAATTAAAATTAGCCATTGCAGAATTATTATAGTTTTTAATATTCAGTCCATACTACAGTAAACTATTGCTATTACGGACACCCTCGGGGCAGTAATTTAGTGTCMKCAGTAGCGAGAGTCCGTASTAACGGGAGTTACTTTCAGTCATTTCTTTGTATTTTTCGCCGGTGATTCCGTATTTCGTGTCCGTAATATCGAGGTGTCCGWAATAGCGGGGTGTCCGTAAGACGAGAGTTGACTGTATTAACTTTCGACACGCCACWCGTTTTAAATGAAATAGTCCGTACCGGATTGAGGCATRCAACCAGTTATCCGGGCTGTCCTTGCTTGGTGGCCGGTCTGCTAACGAAATTKTGTTAGTACCGGCCTATGTGTATCGCAAAAGATASTCTAGATAGGTACTTTATTGGAAATTCAAAAGCATATTCACATCTACACGTATTCGGAGCATTTTTAAGCATTTCCACAACGGATCTGTAGACGTTTGAGCGAAACCCKCGAGTGCATGAATAACGCTTTGTGGATCAAAAATGGTCGACTACGTGTGGACGAGGTAAAACTTACCTGTAGCCCGGATAATATAATATATAGGAGGTTTTTTGTGTTAACGAGGCCCGATTGATCAGTCCAACAGTATTAGAAATGGGCGTCTTACGGCACAGTGTGGCTTATGTTGTCTATTCGAAAAATACTGCATGCACGAACCTCATAGTACAGATGGCTTACCTTCAAAGATCCAAAGTCCCCTTCCCAATCACATCCTTTCTTTGAGTTTGGACAGAAGCATTGTAACGATAGTATATCTCTCTCACAGCATTTATCTGGAAAGGTGTCTTTTAAGTCAAGTTCAATCTCGTCGATTGGACACCGAGGACGTGCGTTTGGCGAGCGCCTTGAATTAAGGAAAATGACAGCAGGTGAATTCTATAGAACTACATAGATATCTAAATAAATATCTGATGGTATTTCTGGAAAATTACAGAGGGACTTTTTGAAAACAAACTCGATTTCCAAGGGATTTTGAAAAGTGTAGTTTCTCTTTCATCTTCGGTTTCGGAATTACTAAAAGAAAGTGAAATGGAAAAATCCCCTCGATTTGAATTATATTCAGGGAATTCCCCTGACACCAGTCATTCTGACTACTTCTGACACATGGTAACCACTTGTTGAGAATTTATAGCTGTTACATGATTACTATTTTTAATTTGTTACTACTTAAGAGCGGTAAACCTGCCAAATGCTTTAGCATATTACACTTTATTTATCTTTATTTTGCACTTGTTCCTTTGTGCTTTTCGAATGAATGTCATAGTATACATTTTATATAATTACATCTTGACTATTACATAGCTTGCGAGAAGCCGAACCGCAAAACGTGTGTTTCGAATCGACTGTACGCAGACAGATATGCTTAAATTGTTTCACGTCGAATTAATGAAAAACATAAATTTATCCTCAAAACAACTCAAAAACACGGTACTGTATATGTTTTTATACGTTTTGAAGGCTATGAAATACTACAAGAGTATAAAAGATCAACATGAAGTTAACCAAGGGGAATACCCTATAGTGAAATGAGGCACCAAAATAAATAACTAGATTCCGTGACGATTCTAACTAGTTTATGAATGATCATAAACAAAAACGTTCGCTCTCAGATCAATCAATTTGGAATATAAATTGGTCTCGCAAAGTTGTAAAAAACAAGTATTAAAAACCAGGAATAGTTTTGTCTGTACAACGTCTCCCTATATTTCTGCTAACCTATCACATTATATTCGTTTATAGTGGCTATATACTAATAGTTGTATTGTACTGAGTGAAGCCTTGGTTTTCAGGCAGAGTCCTATACAGAGTACAAGATATACTTACTTTGTTAATGTAGGCAGGCAGTTTTCACAGATCCTGTGCCCACATGAAGTCTGCTTAGGTTTGTGAAGAAGATTGTTACACACAATACATAAGTAACTCGGATCAAGTTGTTTTACGAACACTATTTTCTGCTCATCAAAGTGAATAACTTCATCCATATTACGACACATTTTTGAGTCTTGATGAAAATCACAATCCCTTGTTTCCCAGTTAATGCCGGCTCAACGTTTCGCAACTCTTTGCGATTTTTCGAAACTTCTAAAATCATCGTGTATGACAACGAGCTTAGCTTATTTAAGCCAATCAGATCCAAATTTAGCAGTGACGACATATTTCAATGTCACGCTACTTGTGTAAACTGATGACGCATAAATATATTCGAGAAACCCCCTGAACAGTCTGAACAGCATTCCGACCATGAAAACACGTAGTAAGTAGGGAAAGAATTTTCACTTGAACGCTTATAACATTTATAACGCTCCTGCAAAGAAGCCATAAATTGCACGAATGAAAAAGTATAATTAATTAAGAATTAAAAGTATAATACAACAAGGAATTTCGACATCGCATCATCTCTCAAGAGGGTCACGTTCAGGTCACAGCGTCTGATGCAACGCTGTAAGCGGGGATTCCCCCATTTTGCAATAGCTTCAAACTATCCCTTTACATATTTCGTCAAAATCATTTAAACGAAATATATGTTTAGTGATATTAGACGTCCTTTACATCTTCGTTCTGCCATCCAGTCTGGCGGATTTAGTGACTATATATGGCCGTTTCATCCAAAAGGCCTCGATCAGTTCATAGTCGTGCGTTATAGCATACTTTGCGCTCCCGGGGGGGAATCCCTTATAAAGGTTGGTAGGTATGCTCGACGGACCTTTTAGGGTCGAAAATAGAACCCTCGTGTACCTTTTAGGGTCCTGAGCTGAATCCGTACCTTGTAGGGACAGTTTTCGAATACCTCAACAATCTATCGACATTGATTTTCTACAGTTTGTTAAACTTGAGCTTTTCTCTTGTTAAAGACCTCAAAAATGGTCGTACCTTTTAGGGTCTGGAATCGATTCCTGAATTAATTTATGCGTACCTTATAGTCTTTTAGGGTCATTTTGCCATCCGTCCGTCGAACATACCTATGATCATTTATAAGGGAGTCCCCCCCGGGACTTTCCGCCACCTTTAACGGCTGTCACGTAGTGTGCAATCTCGAACGTACCTAGAACGTGCACTTTATACAGTATAGGGGATAACGGCTTTACAATTTCCAACAAAGACATTTTTATGGAATATATACAATATGAGCGGCCGATCTGTATGAAGATTCAAAACAGCGATCTGTTTTCAAACTCATACAGTACAGATCGCACGCGAATACAAAATATACCGGTGAAAGACCGTAACGACGCGGACTTAGTTTCCAATTCACTAGGTTTTCTTTGTTATTCATAGGGTTGTATATAACGTTCATCACCAGAGAATAACAATAAATAAGAAAACAATAACCAAGATCTTCGTTACTTTTAAAAGAATCTATACTTCGGAATTGACCAACGTGTATGAATCAGAAGTAATAGTGACTCGTATTTCTGCGTATTTCTCCGCTCCTCGGCCCATTCTATCCAAGCACGTACACACCATTTGGTACTTTACTTTGTTCCTTTTGGAATCCTTCCCTCGTATTTCTTCTTGAGCGAGTTCAACATCAAAAACTATTGCAATTTTTCTCGTTTTTCTCATCAGCAGACTTTGTCATCGTTGTTTGCGGGCAGAGCCATGAGGAGTTCCAAATTCGATAACAAATTGTCAATATCAAGGAACCTGTCAAACGTATTTTGAGCTATAAACAAATCGTCGTCGGACTGTTAAGAATATTTGATAACAATATTCAAATTCCGATTGCTCGCTTAACAGTCCATGAAAAAGTCTCAAGAAGAGAGGATTCTGTTGTTCGAATCCAACTAAGAAAACACTCATTTAGTCTATTCAGTTTTTGCGAAAACCACGTGAATTGAAAACTAAGTTTGTTAGTTACCGTTCTCGGTCTTACAAACTTTAGCGGAAAACTATATTCCACCGAGACTTCCGAGATTTCTGTCATTTTGCAAAGGTTATGATCGCTGTAGTACCTATCTTCACCCTTGCATTATCAAGGCCATATCTATCACATATCCGCGCCGCAGACCTAAAACGGACCTCGTCTACTCGCCAAAAACGGGCCATGGGAAGCTTCTTCTTCTGCTGCAATAAGCCACGAGGCCAAAACATTTATCACTATGAACAACTTCAGTATTTACTTATCTATTTGAATCCTAATGAATATCAGTACCGTACCATGAAAAAGCCTGCCATAAAGTATCATAGTAGAACATAATCATAATGGCAAAAATCGAGAAACAGGGCATAAAAAGGAAATTGGCAATGCCCTAGATATAACAACCTTTCTACTCTGCAGTACGGCGGTTTTTCGTTTTTCTGGGAACTCAAGACCAGGAACGCTAACCACTATATGGTGTTCGGCGTCAATTGGCTAACTTCACCGACTTTCTCCGACGCAAAATCTAACGAGCTCCTATTGGAAAACCTGGCTTACTCACATAACAATATATGACTGACAGTGCTCAAATCTATGTCTTTTTATTTTCATCCATGATGAAAATGTTTCCATTATCGAAGCACTTGGTATTGTATATGAGAAACTTTCAGCTTGACCACTGTAATTTAGTTGACACTCGGATACTGACTTATGTTCCTTTTGTCATATTCAATTCGTTTAATTTAAAATCAACGTATAATATTTTGTTCATTGATTGATAAGAGTTCCAATGAATTCAAGTTTAGTGATTTTATATATTAGTGTACATTTGAGTGTAGTCACGCCTTCCCCTTGTCGTACGTACATCCCTGAGAATGGGAAAATGCCCGATAGATCCTTTGTTCGACCAAAAACCTGCACTTTTACCGTTAAAATATATTTATTAGTAAAGAACATTAGTGCTGTCAAAATAAGATACATAATTTACAATCGGCCTTTTATAATGCGGCTAATTAATATTATAAATATGCATATTTTCTAAACGACAAATTTCAGTAATTATACATTTTTTTGTCAACTTCGGCCTTTACTGCCTCAAGTCGTATGTTTGATTACTAATATATCTAGTTCGTGACTTTTAATATCACAGTGCACAACTACTGGACTACTGGAACCAGGGCTATTTGAATACACCTGACCTATTAGTTATAATAAATTCATTTATCCAAACAGATCTTAGCATTGTCTAATCATGTTACATCAGATAGAAATAATAAACCTTGGAAAGTTGAGCTTAATAACACTGGGATATGCTGTACTGATTTTGAGACGAACCTTGGTCAAACACTAACTCCGTCGGTTGGACATCACCTCCTAGTACCGTGTTCTTGATGTCACTACTATCGTTTTGCCAATAAAAACGCCATATCCATTGGCGAATCAAATTTTTTTGATTTGTTTGTTATGTTTTTGGATGCATTCGACATACACCTCTTGATTTAAAAGAAGGCATAGAAAACACTGAAGCGATGTTTATCAGACGGAGTTGGGACCAGGCCCGTCTGAAAATTAGGTTATCAGCTGTATACTGCTATTATTTAAAAAAAGCATCGAGTATTGACATTACAATCACTTTATAAATATCATTTAAATCTATTTTGTGTTGTTCTTAAATGAACCGGTATTCGAATTTCTATTGAGGCCGATAGTGACGGTCACTTCTTGTATTCTTATACCGAAATGCATTGTTGGTAGTCATCACCGCTGACTGCACCGCTCTAAACGGGGATTCACACTGATTCAACGATGCCAGCTCTGTATCATCGATGAAACAACCGAATTACGTGGGATCTAACAATGTATTTCGGTCTAGGAAGATGGTACGCACTGTATTATGATAATTTTAAAATTGAATATGATAAGTATTACAGTAATTTTAACTCAACTACATATATATAAAAATGGTGCTATTAGCCATACATCTACGGTCTATAACCCACACTTAGAACTGACATTTTTCACGTATTCTTTTAGCGAATCTATTTGATTTTTTTTACGATTTCAATCTTATAAGTATTTACACCATCCTCGGAAACCATGGGTTCCGAGGATGTTTTTACACTCGTTGTGTAAGGACCCGTCCACACGATTCCGTAGATTTTGTATCGGCATATGATATGTCTCTTGGTATCAATACGGTACTTTCGTAAATACTACCCCGATTCAACAGGGCGAATTCATGAGGATAGTCGCATACCATTCGTATACGCTATGTGTCAACGCGCATATTTTTCTATCTATATGGATAAGGTAATTCCGAGTACAAAGGTATCTGGTCAGCACTCGCGTGGACAGTTCCTGATTCAAAAAGCTTAATAAGCTCTGCATGTTTTAGCTTCAAATTCTGAGTACACCAAATCTTTAAGGTCTCATGCAGCTTCGATTTAGTAAATACATCACTTTACTAGTGTCCCTTATTACTCCGATAGCTACTTTTTCAGAGTAGCCTAACGGAGCTACTCCAGCGGTCTATGGACAGTGTGTATTATGTCACAGCTTGTTGGGAAACAAGGCGTCCCTCGTTACTCCACCAGCAAATGGTTAGATGATGAAGATAGGTATGGAACACAAACCATACAAAAGCTGGTCTAAATGAGCTCTCTTAGTGAATGACTCCACTCCACTCCACTCAAGGGCAGATCCAGAGATGATTATGGTGGCTAGCCACCATCCTTTTTAGAGTTTTAAAATACGGAAAATACTGAATGCAATAACGTTATTAACAAAGAGAAAACATAAAATCCTGAGTGAGAAACGTTCTGAAAAACATCTAAAGTAGAAATTTATGACATTTATCTGAAAGAAATTTTCCCGGTCCTATAACAATTTTTTTYCTCGAAATTTTTACCCTCTCCACACTTATGTAACAATCTGGATCTTCGATTCCGACAGGGTATTTAATAGTGGTACTTATTTTGTTGTTTGTTTGTTTGTCTRTAGCGCTTGACCATTGAATGGCGAACACACATAAATCGCGAAGAATTTGTGCAATTGTCTATATAATGGATCTCTAAGGGAGCGCGGCCCTAATTAACATCAGCACCATTATCAAACCCTGACATCATACTATATCATAATGGTTTAATAGTGGGTCTCCACCCACAGGGAAATAAGTTCTCCTTTTTGTCACCATAGGTATTTTTTATATCCTGCCATTGCCATTTTTCTAGTAAATGGTTTTCCGGAAAAAACCTATCAGGCCAGAATAATAGTGTCTAGGGAATCTTTGGCTCAATTTTTCCCCCAAAACCGAGAAACAGGGCATAAGAAGGAAATGAACAATACCCCGATAKAAAAACTTTCCACATCACTGCTATAATTGATAACAGTGATAATATACCTGGCTGGTAAAACAGAACAAATAAGACGTATTAAACCGAAACGAATGAAGATYGAGTCAACACATTTAGAACACAAAAAGCTTGGAAAATAACCTRAAAAGAACAAGTGTCTGTTGGAATACCGTGATAATCAGCGACCATCTACCGSTGGATGACCACCTCGCACGACTCAACACTTGGCCAGCTTCATGYGGATGTGTTTGGCATATGTACCTTTGGGTTTCCAGTAAATAGTCAATGAGCATTTTTCCCGTTCAAAGTGAATAACACCTGTCTCGTTTGACAACAGACCCTTGTTCAAAGACCTTCAAGTAATGCATGTTAATGTTGCCATTACAATACCCTAGAGACTTGACAATTCCCCGATTGAGGCTTATAGCCTGTAAACTAAAAGATCGACTTGCACCCGACAACCTTTATGCGATTTCCTCACATAAGAATTTTCGCCATCTCTGGTTTTGAACCAATCAAAATGGAACGTTCAGCAAGACATCATTTGTAAAACAAAACGACCGCAAAGGTTTTTGGGTGCAGATGGTTCTTTACGTTTTCAAGGTTAGTCAAATCGGTGAAAATATAAACGTGTTAAGGCTGATTTACACGGTACGATTGTCGCCTACGACTTGTAGTATACGATTTTCCTACTACAAATCGTAGGATTTTTAGCCATGGTTTTTAGTCGTAGGTTTGGTACGACTGTTGTAGACAAGTCATAGGGCCATTTACACTGCGCGATTCAAGTCGTATACTACAAATCGCACGAGACAATCGTGCCGTGTAAATCAGCCTTAAGGGTCTTTGCTAACTGACAGTCTGTTTTCAAATGAAACAGCAACCATTCACTTTGAACGAGAATTAAGCTCATTCATTCCATTTTACTGAAAACCCAAAGAGGCAAGACCTGTTGTATCCACGATGATCTTAATGTAGATGACATCATC